GGGGGAGCGAGCCGGGGCTGCGGAGCGGGCAACGCTGGGGGCTGCGCTTTGCAGCGAGCGGTTCTGGACATTTTTTTTTCCACTCGTTTGAGTAATTAATAACTATTTTCCTAGGCCTGACTCCAGGGCATGGGGAAGAAACATAAATGATTTATCAGGGGCATTAGGGAGATATGGACCTTGTCCAGGAACTGACTCCAGCCCCTAATAACTCAGTGACTCTTAGGAAAGAAGGATAAATCCTTTCCTCCGCAGATCTTTTTTGGGAATGTGGTTTCATCTTCCCACGTCAAAACCTTTCCGAAACGCATCCATTAGGACCCAGCTGGGAGAAAGCATCTTCCTCCTGGGGGAACGGCTGAGCAGCTCTCCCTGCCTGCTCTCCTTCCAAAAGAAAGGGGTGCTCTTTTTGCCTGATTTATTGGGAAACAGCCCCGGTGTCAAGCCCCCAGCTTGCTTTATCTCACCAGGTCGCAGCATTTAGATAAGAGCTGAGCCCTGGGCTACTTCCCCTCTCTCCTTCTCCCGCGGGAGCCCACGCTTGCAGCACGCGGGGGGAAATAACTGCTCCCAGCTGGGCTTGCCCAGCGGCATCACTGCCAGCCCCCCAAATAATGTTGTCTCAGGAAGGAGCGAGGCGGGAGGCGCTGGTGGAGGATGCTCCTCACTTGGGGATGAGCTTTTTTCATGGTGCTCCAAGCATCCAGGGCTTTGCTCGGCTTTGGAGAAGATAGGACACTCCAGCCCACCCTCACAACCACCCTTCTCCTTGCAGAGGACACCTACGCCTCGGAGGAGCTGGTGGACCAGCAGCCTGTGCTGCTGAAGGTGATGGACACCGCCGACCAGGTGAGGCACCAGGGCACCGCGGGTGCCGAACACCCGGCGTCACCCGGCTGGACCACGGCTCAGCCGCTGCTCTCGCACCCAGGACGGCCCCGGGAACTGCGAGCGCTACCTGCGCTGGGCCAGCGCCTTCCTCGTCGTCTACAGCATCGATGACAGGAAGAGCTTCGAGGGCTGCCAGCGCTATCTGGAGGTCCTCGCCCTGCACGCGAGGGGCTGCCAGCGCCGCTGCCCCGTGCTCCTGCTGGGCAACAAGCTGGACATGGAGCAGTACAGGTACCAGGCATGGGGCAAGGCTGTCTTTTCCTGGTGAGGGAGAGCTCACAGGTCCACCCCATCCCTCCAGCTGGGATGCAAAACCCAAATCTGAATTTTTTTGTGGTTCTTTCCACCCCCATTGGTAGTTGCCACGTCCTTCCACAGCTCCGAGGTTCCTGCTGTCCTGCCCGGGGAGGGGGGATGTGCTTATTTTGAGCCCGTTGGTATTTTCAGCGGGATGTTTTTCAGCTGCATGGTAAGGCAGCGTCACCGTCCCTGGGCAGGGCTTGAGCCCACTCCAGCTCCTCATTCCCCTCTGGATGTGCCCTTTCCTGCCCCGTCCCCGCTGCCAGGACTGGATGTCCCCGGTGTGTTTTTCTGGCCCTTCGTGCCGCTCTTGGGGCCGTGCTGAGTGTAGGTCCCATGGGTCTTTGAGTCACACATGTTGCTGAACCCCCCCCCGCATTGCTGAACCCCACCTCGCTCCCAGCGCGGATTCTGGAGGGAGGTGTCCCCCTCCCCATGGCGAGGACCTGCCCCATCTCCTCCCCGCTTCCCAGTGCGACGCCATCGCGTCCAGCCCCCTGCGTCCCTGGCACACGTCCCCGCTTGGCACACCCGCCACAGGAGGTTGCATGATTCCCCGGGGACCCACGCAGCCCCTTGCTCCGAGATTTCGGGAGAGGAAAAGTCCTTTTGGAACCACGTCCCCTGCTTGTCACCCAGGAGAGGTGACAAGCGGGTGCTGCTTTGGTGCTCGCTGGGAAGCAGGCACAGGGTGGGGGGTCCGTTGCTCCCCGCCTGCACCCCTCGCTCCCCTTTTTGGCTAGTTGCAGCGCCTCAAGGGATGCTGCACCCGTCCCCTCCACTTCTGCCAGGCAGGTGCCCGCAGCTGAAGGGATGTCCCTGGCGAGCAGGTTTGGGTGCCTCTTCTATGAGGTGTCGGCATGCCAGGACTTCTCAGGGGTGCAGCACGTCTTCCACGAAGCAGTGCGGGAGGTACGGCGCCAGGCGGAGCAGAGCCTGTCCGTCCGGCCGCTCTTCATCACCGAGGAACGTTCCTGCCTGCCGGTGGCCACACCGGTCAGGTGCGACCCACCGGTCGCCCGTCCCCCTCGCCACGGCTTGGCCAGCTGCTCCTTCAACTCCCTCTCCACCGTCAACTACAAGGAGATGCCCTCGGTGGCCCAGGCCAAGCTGGTCACCGTCAAGTCTTCGCGGGCTCAGAGCAAGAGGAAAGCTCCCACGCTCACCTTGCTGAAAGGTTTCAAGATATTTTAGGACGCGTCCCTGTGGGCTGCGGAGGAGGCGGCGAGACCCCTGTCCCCCCCAGCTCCACGAGGGCTGAGACCATCCATGATGGACTCATGGGCACTGCAGCAGCTGCTGGCGGGCGGTGGCCCCGGTCCCTGTGCCGGGGCGAAGCCTGCGGTGGCAATTCGGCAAGTGGACGGGGTGCCGAAAATCCAAAATCGGCTGTGGCATCGCTCCGCCTGCCATCCCCCCTGGCCAAGCACTGCTGTGTTGTTTGCTCCCTGTCCTGCTGCCGGCACCAGGGGCCAGCTCGGCTTTCCCTGTGGATCTGGGCAGCTCCTGGAGCAGCCGGAGCTGAGGGCAGCGCCGGGAGGGTGAGGGCTGTCCTCAAGGTCTCCCAGCTGGCTCAGGCACCTGGTGCACAGCGATGGGAGCCCAGGGAGGGGGAACTAATCATTAATCAAGCATGGAGGGACCTGTCTCGTTCCTCTCACAGGTCCCTGACCGAGCAATAAGTAGGAGGAATTTTTTTTTTTTTTAATCTGAATGAGAAATGTGCAGACATTGTTTCAGCCGACTAAAGGCCTCAGGTGTCCTGAAGCCGATTCCCATGCATTGAAATAAGTCATACCAAAATAGCTGGTTTTTAACTATAGTGTTCCTTTTTAAAGGCTTTGCAGGGAGAGGTGCTTCATTGATGAGGACACACTCTGAAAAGCCTTTGTTTAAAAGACTGATGTATTTCCAAAAACGTCTTAAATTATTTCACAGCTTCTACATGTGCCCGGTGAAGGGTGAGAAGTGAATCCTAAAGCAGACCAGGCTCTACCCGTGCCCAAGCCAGGGCCAAGGGCTGTGCGTTTGGTTTCATTTTGCTGTATCAGGTTAAACATTCTGCTTCTCCCTGGAGTTGCAGTTACTCTGCAGAGTAAAATATCCATGTGTATATTTGTACATATATACATATATATATATGACTTTACTGATAGAGAGAGATATTCAATATGGGATTTCAATCAACACTTTGGAAAGTATTTTAATAAAGATGATTTCTGAAAAGAACAAAAGCACCTCTGCTTCAGTGTGGCTGTTTTCCTGATGGGACATGACAGCACATTTCCTGGCTGCCTGCAGGAAAAACCTCCCGGCCCGGCTCCCAG